CGACCCGCACCAGGTATCTTGGCCCACAACATATAGCAGGACCACATCAACCTATCCCACCACCATATGACTGTCCCACGTAAGATGTCGTGAGAAAACCTAAAAAAATCATCCATAATTACTAAATGAGTACAAAAACAAAAATAACTTATTTTGCAACAAAAAAATATTAAGGACTAAATGTGTATAAAAATATTAAGGACTAAATGTGTACAAAGTGAGAAATATATTACCCTATTAAGTCATTTTTACCGGCTAACCTGGAGTAGCCGGTCATAAGAACTAAATGTATACAGTTTAATAAATTAAAAGGGTAAATATAAACGAAAATAAAAATCAATGACTAAATGTATAAAATTAAAAAATACAATTATCATTATCCCTAATAATAATTAAAAAAAATACCATGGTGGATGCTTTAAAAAGGTAATAACTAACCCTTATTTTTCCCGTGTGTTTGCTGGACCCAATTCCAAAAGCTGCCAACGTTTCCATATGAATTTCTTACACAAAGATTCAATCTTCATCAAATAAACCTCACTGAAAGTCGAGATTAAACCTCCATAGATCTTGTTTCCCACCTTTATTTACTCTCCCTCTCTCTTAAACTCCTATAGAGAAAGAAAGAGCGAGTGGAATTGTGTTCCAGCGCCACCCCGACCAGGCGACTACTGTTACTCATGGATGGGCACCGGCGGCGCCACATCCCCAAATATAGCCGTTTCCGTCACCTAATTCCGTCAATCTCTGCTATATCCGCCGCCATTCTCCTCCTCTATTGTTTCCTCTCTTTTCTAGCCCCTTCCCCTGATCATTTTCACCACTTTGGACACCATACCTCTGTAAGTTCTTTCTCTTTGAATTATTAGAAACACATCATTTAAAGTTTATCAACTGATTTTATTTGATCGCAGTTCGATGATCATACCATTGACGATGATACACCTAAAGCTGCTCCAATCTTCGAAGTTCCGGTTAGGTTTTATTGCTTATATTGGGATACGAATGCTTGTAATGTGGTTGATTGGATCCAAATTAGCTCATTCGATTATCATTCATTTCATCTTTTATTGCGATCTAGACCAGGAGCAAGATGATTAGTGACCGAAATCTTTGGAGCACAAGTATGTCAAAATTCTATTTTGGATGCAGTAATGCCACCAGTCAGTTCCCAAGTAAGTGGTTTCCTCAAAACTCAAAAGGGTAGTTACTTCTTGTAATGCTTTTCATTAATTTGTGTGTTTTCTTTGCTTTAACTACAGAAGCTCAATCAGTAACACGCCCTAATCGATACTTGCTGATTGACACCAGTGGAGGTTTAAACCAACAAAGAACTGGGGTAACTCATACTTGATAACTTGATATCTTCCTTCATTTCATCCGATTTACATAAACTAATTTATATTAATTCTACCTGTAATCTCAGATTACAGATGCTGTTGTTGCTGCACGTATTCTAAATGCTACTCTTGTTGTTCCTAAACTCGATAAGAAATCTTTCTGGAAAGATTCAAGGTTAGTTTCACCAATAAATCCATTTCTATATAACTTGGATGTATCATGTAATGTAATGTAGCTGTTATAAATATGCAATGCTTTTTTCTATACAGTACTTTCTCTGAGATATTTGATGTTGATTGGTTTATATCAAATCTATCAAAAGATGTGAAAATTATACGGGAACTTCCTCATAAGGGAGGCAAAAAATGGTCTCCATACAGTACACGTGTACCTAGAAAATGTGATGAGAGATGCTATCATATTCATGTGCTTCCTTTGTTTTCAAAAAAACGTGTAAGTCCCACATTTATCAAATAATCAGTTAATTATAATCAAGGAGAATTTTACTTAAAGTATGTATTATATTTTGACAGGCTGTTGAACTGAGTAAGTTTGATTACAGACTTGCTAACGAGTTAGAAACCGATTTTCAAAGGCTTAGATGCAGGGTGAACTACCATGCTTTAAAATTCACAGCTCCCATAGTCAAAATGGGTCAAACATTGGTCAACCGAATGAGGAATATGGGAAAACACTTTGTTGCCCTTCACTTGAGATTTGAACCCGATATGCTTGCTTTCTCGGGTTGCTATTATGGTGGAGGAGAGAAGGAAATAAAAGAACTTGGTAAAATCCGCAAGAGATGGAAAACTTTAAACGTAATAGTAACTTCTTCTTTATATTGTCTGTCTGGATAAAGTGTTGTCTGTCTGTCTGGATCTGGATAAATAAATGATGTTTTAAAAAATATATATTTACAGATTAGTGATCCGGAAAAAGAAAGGAGACAAGGGAGATGCCCATTGACACCGGAAGAAGTAGGGTTGATGTTAAGAGCAATCGGATACGATAAAAATGTTCATATCTACGTGGCGTCTGGTGAAGTATACGGTGGGACCCACACGTTGGCTCCATTAAGAGCCCTTTTTCCAAACATTCATTCGAAAGACACCATCGCCACGAAACAAGAACTCCTACCGTTTTCACCGTTCTCTTCTCGTATGGCTGCATTGGATTTTATTGTGTGTGATGAAAGCGATGTTTTTGTCACAAACAATAACGGTAACATGGCCAAAATATTGTCTGGACGAAGGTAGTTTTTTTTTTTTTTTTTTTTTTACTAACAATTGTAAACTAACAAGATACAGAACAGCTAGTGTTTCATATTATTATCAAATGAGAAGGATAGGATACAATGAAAGGAAAAGACGACTAGCTAATTAGGGTTTTCTCAACATAAAACCCAATACATCCAAACGACAACAAAAACATGGGTTTATGGGTAAAAATGAAATACGTTTTGTTTTGTTATGTGAGTGACAGGAGATATTTTGGACATAAAGTGACAATACGTCCAAACGCGAAGAAATTGGCTCGGTTGTTTTTGGAGAGGGAAAAGCTGACGTGGCAAGAGTTTTCGTCAAGAGTGCGGGTGCATCAAGTGGGATTTATGGGAGAACCGAATGAGAGGCCGGGGAGTGGGGAATTTCATGAGAATCCAAAGTCTTGTATATGTGAAAAACCAAATGCTAAAGTGAAACTTGTTGGTAATAATAAGTATATTGATGATGATGATCAAGAACAAGAGGAAGAAGAAGAAGAAGAAGAAGAAGAAGAAGAAGAAGAAGAAGATGGTATTGTATCTAATCTTCGGTATCTGTTTAATGACACAAATGTTGATGATGTTCCTTTGGTATATGAAGAAAATGAATTGGAAGAGTTGCTTTCGGATTGAATAATCCTACACAATGGCGAAAACTAGGGCGTTCAAAGAGAATGAAATCACCCGAAAATTGGGATTAAAGTACATATTCTAGATTCAAAGTTGTTAAGTTGGGGACTAAATTTTGTAGATGTGCATTCTGTTGAGTTAAGGTACAGACGAGTTTTTGTAACGAGAGAATACGATATGTGTGCTATGAAAGCAGGTGTAAGTTTGTTGTTAGAACATCCACATGAGTGTAATGTTAGTAATCTTTTAATTATTCTATGCATGCAAGCTTCTGTAATTTTACCCATACTATACCCAAAATAGCTCTCACAACAACCATATGTTAATAACTACTTCCTACTTATTAGCAAATATCATAATATTCAAACCTTCTTCATGTGCAAATTTGGCCCTGTGACTTTGCCTTAAGAAATAACTCACGACGTTCTTTGTCTAATAGTTTAAGAACCTCCACTATTTCATAACACGAGCTTTAACCAAAACACTAGTTATTAAACGTTTGTCCACATGCCAAGAAATAAATAATCACTAAATACGTTACCACATAATAAAAAGATATCACTATACATTTTACAAACTAAAAAAACGAAAAATAATAATAATAAAAAAACAATAAATAAAACTACCAAAACCGTAGATGGGGGTATGTTATCTATTGTACAAACTGCTAATGCATATTTTGTACATCAACAAGTCGTACACGGTAGGTGACATAACACATCTATGTTTTTTTTTTTTTTTTTTTTTTTTTTTTTGCAAAAATCAATACCAAATACTATTAGATTTCAAGGTAAACCATAGAAAGCAAATAAAAAACAAGGTTTATTGGAAAAACATGATTGTTGTTCGGAGCCACCATTGGAGAGAGTTTAGCTAGCTTCGATCACCGAAAACGACCTAATTTAATTTTTTTAAACTTTATATATTATGAGTTAATGGACCCTTATACCGTAGATAGACTACAAAACCATAGCCTAAATGCCTAAATCCTAGCTTACTTCCGTCCAATTCTCTCAAAACCATAGCCCATAGGTAACATACTCTCGTTTACTGTTTGGATGTCTATTTTTGGCTAATGACTAATTTTTGATTATTAAACAAAAATTCATTAGTTTTTTTGGCTTGATTATTAATTTTTTTTTCTAATTATTACAATCAATAAATATTCATTAATATATTAACACAAACATGATTATATTTAATTTAATTGATACAAATTTTCTTAATTGTATAGTTAATATGATAAGTTAATAATCATTTTTATACATAAATATATTTATAAAATTTATAGCTACATTTTTTTGTAAATATTAATCATTTTTATTATATATTTTTATCAATTTATCAATTCTAATATATTACTCAGAAAGAAATTAGACATCTGCAAAATGTTCTATTTATTTTGGCAATGTTATACACATTCAATATTAGTTCAACATATTCTAGACTTGTTCCAAACATAAGCAATTTTTTTTAGTTGTCCTAGTACACAATACCCACATATGTATTCATATAAAAGTCTAAAAACCTAAAATTCAAAGGAATACGACTTATAGCTAAGTAATCAATTCAAAAAATAAAAATCATATTTTTAGCATATAATCTCAAATAATAACATAGAATCATACAAAGAATCAACATATACCCATAAAAATGGAATCTCTTCATGGCTAGAAGAATAAATTATTTGAAAATGTTGTAGTCCAAGGAGTATAGAGTACAAAATGAAGTTCGAAACAATGTGTTTGACACATGGGCTTCATCAATATAAGGGGACTATATTACTCGTTGGACCATTTTGCCCATTTATCCATTTCGGAATTCAGGTCCAAAACGTGCATTCTTGACCGAATGGTCATTAAAAAAAAAAAAAAAAAAAAAACTGCTTGTTTTTTTGTTTAAACCCACAAAAAATGGTTAAATTACTCAATTTCCCAATAAACAATGTAAAAAAATAAGTAATATAATAATATTAAAGAATATATAATCGATACTAATTTGACGATACATATAAACCAGGATTTCAAAATCTGTGCAAATTAAGTGATGGACTTACATTTTAGAGAAAAGCATCATGATGAAAAGAATAGGCAAATTCTACTATGAAGCAGTTACAATTTACAGGTTTAGTCAAATAAAAACAAGAACATTAATATCCCCTATTTGTATTTTAGTTGTGTTCACTCATTTTTTTTTTGTAATGTAATATAAACACTCTTAAAAAATAGTACCTATTGAAACATCATTAATACTTTATACATTTCGCCACGAGTGATACAATGAAGCATATTTACGTTTGTTGCGTGGTAATCTTGGTACAATATGGAATAGAATGATGTCAAAAAGATCAATATCTTTGTTTACAAGACTTAATTTGTCTAAAAGAGGGGTTGAGCTTGACTCCATCTTCTGTTTGGTTTGTAGTATTGGCGTGGAAATGTTGGCTCATGTTTTGTTTTCATGCTTAGTGGACATTTGGTCGAAAAGTTGGAAGGTTGAGTTTTCATGTCTCAACTTCCATTCAAGAGTGGGTTGGGTGGATAATGTGTAATTGCCGGCTACGAAAAAGAATTGTTTAGAGGTTTTTATCTTTACTACTCTATGGGTGTTTGGGATATAGGAATAGGGTGTGTTCAAACCGCGTGACTGAAAAAGGTTATTAATATGATAACATTACATAAACCGACAATATCAACAAGCTAATTTTGTGTTAGAAATTTGGTTTTAATGATATTTGGAAATCTGAGAATTGTGAATATCACTTTCAAATCGAAGTTTTTGGGTGGTACTCCCAAATCCCTAACTGGATAAGACTCTGAGAAAATCGGAGAAAAAGAAAGAGAATGAGATGGTATGTTTTTCGTGAGTACCGGATTATGACCAAAAAACTGGTTTTTGATCTATGTCTGAAAACTGTCACATGACAGTTTCAAACTGTCACAGACCATCAAAACTGTTAAAACGGGTATTTTGATAGGGTTAAAAATTGGATCAATTCTAAAAAAACCAACCAAGGGTTCTGCTCCTTGGACCCCACTCCCAGGGACGCTGCCCCCGGACCCCCGTTCGTTCAGGGGTTCCGCCTCTAAATAACAGTGTACTTTAAATCTTGAACAAACTTAAACAAGTGACACTCTGCACCTTCCTTACTTGTTTAATATTCATCAAAATTGATTTTAATCAACAAGTCAATCCATTACGCTTAAATAAAATTTGTAAAATAATTATGTTGTACGAATGTGAAAAATAAAACATCTCTTTATAATAGAAAACTCTTTAATCTTTTTTTTTTCTTGTAGATTGATATATGAGACTCCTTACTCCAACCTATGATACGCATTCTTCATTTTTTTATCAAACACATTAAGGTAGGTTTTTCAAAATATTTAAGGTAGTTTATAAATGTTTTTTTTTTTTGTGTATAAATTGTTATAAACTTTTTAATTTTAAGTGGGTCAAGTGATCCACCTTCCCATAACATAACCTCGCTACCGGACCAACTACATAGATACCAGGTTTCTTTACATTGCTCAGACTATGGGTGAACATTTTGACCAGAATGGACCGGATCAGAGGATTTACAGAAATTGGTGGATTTACCAGGTCCGGCTTGACGTAAAAGTGAGCATTTGAACTGGACCAGATCTGTTTTGCAGAAATTTATGGACCTTGAACCAGGTCTAGGTCCAATCCGGATGTCAAAATGTTCACCCGTAGCACAAACAAGTCGATATCCATTTGGATCATGAATACTCAAATCACCTTTAACAAACATTATAATTAGATAAAATAATGAGGTAATAGAATATTATAGTTTGTTTAATTAACTGGTATGTGCTTAGTTAGCGTTGCAAAAACCTTTTCAAATATTGAAATATCGTGGATGACAGAACCATTTGTAATGGATTTATAAGACCATTCACAAGTTCGTTTGAGTGGTCTTAGATGTTAGATTCAAGTTGTTGTCTTTTTCGAGTGTCTAGAATTGAAGATGAAGACAATGGATATGTTTGATTACAGTGTTGTTAATAAAAAAGATGGTGATATTGAATATTGAGATGTGGACTCTTGGAGAAGTAGGTTCAGTATTATAGCAGTCCGAAGTGTTCCAAAGCCTCGTAAGTCGTAATGGATGTCATGCGAGTGTTATGTGGAGGCAATTGGTTTAAGAAGTGGAACATCAATGGCATATATACAAAGTTTATAAATCAGTTTATTTTCGAGTTTTTTTTGGTTGTTAATGTTTATAAAATCAAAAAATCCTTCATAAACTAGCTTGCTAATAAAAACTTCTCAAATTAGCATTTCAACAAGCTTACGAACTTTTTAAAAATTCTATAAAAAATATATATTTAATTAATTAAAAATAAGTAATTGCATGTGTAAAGAAACATAATCGACACAAGATCTTCCCAACATCATCATTTCATTTATAATGAAACAGATGGTTTTCATTAACAAATTACAACTGAAAACTCACTACAAAAACACTCAAACTCTCATATTACAGATCTTGTAAAATAATGTATGAACAAACCCTAACTCGAGATAGAGAGAGAACTTAGAGAACTTAGAGATAAGATGAGATACAATCTATATATGTATAATATCACCTAACCTAACACTTTATATCATAACCCACTAAATATCGGGTATAACCCGCATATCAACTGACCCACGCGTTCCTTACCTGCAATATAACACATATACACAATACAAACAAATATATTGTTCACCACTTTATTAACTAACACATTAACACATATTAACATATTTAATAAATTAATGTTTAAGTTTGAAACTTTATTAATTCTTTTCAACATCCCCCCTCAAACTAAACATTAATTTTGACAAAAAATTAACTCTTAAAAATATCAATCATATTAAGTCGATTTACAATATATTCATGTTGAGCACTACCAAGTGATTTTGTTAAAATATCTGCATTTTGATTTGAAGACATTATCTTATTAACTTTTAAAATTCCATTTTCAATTTTCTCC